TTTATAAAAATGTTCTACACCTTTGACTACAGCCAGCATCTCTCGCCTAGTTAAAATTTGCAGTCACTTTCGGTGAAATGTGTGAAAGATTTGGCGATATTGGCGAATCCATAAGCATAGCGACGATAATACGTGCACAATCCCAAGAAGCGCCTTATGTCGTGGACATTTTCAGGAACTGGCAATTTCTTCACGGGCTTTATCTTCTCTGGAACCACGGCCACGCCCTTCGCTGAATCACTTTTTCGGACTGAGTTTCAAATTGGTCTCAAGTAACCGCTGGAATACCGCTTGCAAATTCTGCAGGTGTTCATTAAAGGTACTTCTAATCACTATGATGTCATCCAAGTATTCCAAGCAAGTCTTTCCAATTTGATCACTCGAGATTTTCTTCATCAACCTTTCGAACGTCGCCGGGGCATTGCGCAACCCGAAAGGCATAACTGTAAACTGCCATAGGCCTGCGCCGATCGAGAATGCTGTCTTTCCCTTGTCGGCAGCATCTAAAGTAACTTGCTAGTATCCGCTCTTCAAATCGAGGGTGGAAAACATTTTCAAGCCAGAAAGAATATGCAAGGTGTCATTAATCCGTGGTAGTGGATTACTGTCTTTCTTGGTTAGGTTGTTGAGCTGTCGGTAATCCACACAAAAACGGGTTGTCCCATCCTTCTTCTTTACCAATACTACCGGTGATATCCATGGACTTGAGGATGGCTCAATTATGCCGGTCTCTTGCATTTCGTGAATTATTCGCTCTGCTTCTTCCTTCTTGGTCAGAGGCAATCGTCTAGGTATTTGACGAATATGCTGCGCATTACCGGTATTGATCTTGTGTTTTACGATATTGGTCCTCCTTTTCCATTCTTATCAGTCTCAAAGAGGTCGGCATTCTGACAAAGTAGATGTTGCACTTTGCATTTCTGCTCACTGGTTAGATTCCTACAATATCCGTCAATCACTTAACTTATTTCAACAGGTACTGTATCAGGATTTACTTTTCGGGTTACAGCCTCCTGTCTATCTTTGATGAAATAGAATTCGTCATCCAGTCTCAGAACGCGTCTTCTTAAATTCATGTCAAAATCGTATTTTTGTAAAACGTCCAGCCCAAGAATTACGTCATCTTCAATATCTGCCACAAGCACTCGATGGTCAAAGATAGTCTTACTGATTTCAAGTGACACGTTGGCTCCGTCATGAACAACCACTTTTTCTCCGGTAGCCGTATGCAGAACCCACTTAGTCGACACGACCTAGTTAGAACCCTCGACTACGCTGGGTTTTACTATGCTCCTAGTGACCCAAGTGTCCAATAGAAACACGCATCTTCGTCCATTTATTTTTCCAACTAGGTGTAGACTGTCCTTCTGGTTCTTCAAGGTTTTCGTAAATACGATAAATTCGGGGTCTTTTTGTCCGTGGGCCAACATTTGCCCCGTTACGTCGAGCCTATCTAGTTTTCCTGCTGTTGACGTCGAGTACTTGGGGAAGGAGCACTTTTCCCACACTGCCTCCTCGTATGACCTAGTTCGCCACAATTCCAACATCTTAACTTTCGAGTTTTTTTTTTCGAACATGGTGATGATTCGGTAGACGGTTTCTTCTAAAGATTCTGACGAATTCGTTTCTTCACGCAGTAGCCGAGCCCTTCCCTGCTTGCTATAGGCCCCTTTAACAGTTTCGTACTCCAATGCACGAGCCAATGCATCAGCTAGCGTCTTAGGTCGGTCAAGGCGTATTCGTTGTTGAGTGTCACTGTCCCGAAGTCCATCAGTAAATGCCTCCACTGCTAACCTTTCCACCAATTCTTCTGGAGTATTAGGATAGGCCAGTCGAGACAGTCTCGCAATATCGGCCTCGGATTCTTGTGGGGATTCCGTTGGTTTCTGGTGACGGGTTTTCAGTTGGATGTGATACACCTCTTTTAAATGAGCCTCGCCGTAGCTCAACTCTAACCGTTTTACCAACTGTTCATAATCCGCCAATTCTTCCCGGGAAAGGGTGTTCAAAATGTCACAAGCATCTCCACGAAGCGCAACTGTCAACGCAGTGGCTTTTTCTTCAGGCGCCTAGTTATTCGCCTTAGCAGCCGCCGCAAATTACTTGTGGTATGTGGTCCATGAGGACTTTCCTTCAAACGTTGGTGGTTTTACTCGTGTTCTTGACTTTACACCTCTTCCTTGGCTGATTTGGTTGGCTTCGTTGAGTGTACTAGATGCGCCCACATACCCTTCGACTGGTTTATTCTTTCGATTAAAAATCAATTCTTCCAGCACTTTTATCTTCTCTTCTGTTTCTTGAATATTCTTATTAAACTTTCCTTCCCATTTATTCTCCAAACTTCTACTGTTTTCTTCTAATTCACGTTTCAGACTATTACTATTTTCTTCCAATTCACGTTTCAAACTTTTATTATTTTCTTCTAATTGTTCTTCCAATTTCATTTCCAAACTTTTACTGTTTTCTTCCAATTTATTTTCCAAACTTTCGTCATTTGCGATAATTCGCCTTCGAAAAGGAACATTTCAGGATCATGGCCATCCTTTTTCAATGCCTCCGCGAGCCGCCACTGAAGTTCCGCTTTGTTACCGCTTGTCTCTTCATCTCGTTCGTCCTTTAAATACTCTTTTGTTTACTTTCGGGAACTTTCTGGAAAACGTCTGGATAGTTTATTTTTTCTTTGAACTGTTTAACTGCTTTCCCAGAACACAGGTACGACACACACATTTATAAATACGGCGCACATGAAAAAAGGTGCCCGCGGCTAGTCGGCGAATCTATAAGCCGTTAACGCACACGTGTGCCCGATCGCACACAAACACACTCGTGCTCGCTACGATAAGAAGTAAGTTGCCCTTATACAATGATGTTACAGTTGTTTGCGGGTGGAAAACCTAAAATTATCATCAAAATGACAAATATAAACTCACGAAATTATTTCTATAGCATGTTACCCTTGTCCTTTAGAGATTCTCCATAACTATAATGCTAACTATTTAATTAGTATAATCTATTAAGATCATTGAACATTGAATTCCTTACCACTGATAATGCCTTTAAACAATAATTTAAACTCCTTTGCTATAGAAAACAATAAGATCACATTTAGTTTTTAAAACAATTTATGAGTAGTTTGACCCGTATATTTCTAAATAAATAAATAATTAAGTATATATAAATTGAAAAAAAAGTTATTGCATTGGACATGAAAAGATTCTGTGCTACCTTATCATACTGTAGTTTTTTCATTGGTAAAAAATAAACAAATGAAGAAAAACTATACTTACTGAGCCGAGAAAAATCTGGGTCCACCTGTGTGCCACCTGAATATTCTAACCCGTGAACCATTTCGACGTCTTACCATTGCAGCTGAAGTATCAATAGCTGAACACTTAAAATTATTGTCATTCAACATGATGCTGATGTCGAACAGGAAGAGTTTTCACAAGCGTGCGTTTGGTTGATGGAGCAATGAAATAGAATCTTGCGGTGTTGCAAATATCACCGTGGTCTTCTCCCTTAGTAGTGAGGAAATTTTACGTATATTTTTTCAACGGCGTATTTGATGAATTCAGTGTCACTGAAGCAGTAATGAACAACAGAACCAAGGCTACGTGCGTTTCCAATACTACTTGAAAACAAATTAAAAGCAGCATCTTCTTCTGCGAACCAATGGAACGCTTCATGTGAAGGCACTCATAAAACCACTGAACCACCTGCTCGCGCTTTAACCATCAGCCGGATTGTGAGAGTGACTAATTACCCCGATTTATGTGAAAATTCATTCTCAATTTCTTAACCACTATTACTTACCTCAAGGTTAATGAGAGAAAATTTGTTGCTGTTATCATACGCTCGCCAGGAATCGAACCCGGGACCTTTAGCTTAACGCACCAATGCTCTAACCAAAAAGCTACGAGAGATGACAATAACAAAGATGACAAACCGTACTTATTAGATCACAGATCTGTCGAACTAATGTAATTATATGAATACTATATAATGTAATATAATATAGTATAGTATAGACTATATTTAGTAGTATAGTATTAATATATTTACATTAGTTCGACAGATCTGTGGCCTAATAAGTATTATATTATTATTATAACAAATATTCCTTCATTAACCTGATAATAAAAGTTCATCACGTAATTTTCCAATCTAATACGAAATGGCAGTTATCTTAAACATTAACCACTGGCAACCCTAGCAGGAGGGCTATTCTAGCAAATTGAGATTAACGGTGCAGGTGTATGCGCCAGCGGATTATATCTAGGCAGTAGGTGTAGGGATTTGTTTGATCAAACATTTTCATGGCTTGTACGAATTAAGAGTATATATGATTGTAACTATCCCAATATCAAGCTAAAGTAATGGCTATCAGACTCTAAACCCGAGCAAGTCTTATACTACGTTAGCATGAGAACGAGTGGGGAAATTATTACTCCAGCTACAGACCTCCTAGTATAGTGTTCATGCTGAAGTTCGTATGTTCAATCGCGCAGAATGGTTGATAGTGAAGGTATTAGTGGCAATTAAAGGTCACCTCTTAAGTCCTCTCTATCAATCGCTCCACACCAGTAAAAACAACCATATATAGGTATATGAGCCTCATGTGAGTTAACAGTAGATTCCCCCTTGAAAGCGAGTGCGAAGTGCTGTAACAACCTCAACGTTTCTCAGTCTACCATTTGCTCAACTTGTAGGGCGCCATATTTTATGCAGAACACTTTTAAGAACAGTTTGGAAAAAATTAATAACTGCAATTAAACAGTTTTGTTGCCAGTACGTTGGAAATGTAATATGTAACTATGTTGACATAGTTAACTTTAAAACTTGCAATTATGAAATAATAGAAAAGAATACTTATCTATTACAGGATGTATTTTAGAATCAGCTATTTTATACATCCTAAACAACGTTCGAAAATTAAGTGGGCGTTGCATAAAATATGAGTCAATATTTATTAAAATAAAACGACTGTTTAATTTTTTAAGCTCCCGAAATGTTAACCAAACCTACTTACAGTCAGCAATGTGACATTTGGTCTCTCGGAGTGATTATGTACACACTTCTGGCAGGACAAATGCCGTTTAATGGTATTACCGAAGAAGTTAGTATACCCTACATCACATTTGAATGTATAATACAGTTTAAATTAAAGAAAAATTTATAACACCTATAGGAATTGATAACGGATATTATTAACAATGATCCTCTATATACTAATATAAATATATTAAGTCCAGAAGGATTTAATATACTTCAGCGAATGCTGCATAAAGAGCCAGCAAACAGGATCACAGCAGCGGAAATTATGATACATGGTTGGATAACCAACGATCCAAAACAAAATAAAGGTGCCGAAAATGTTCTTGATATGATGAAACGATGGAAATCCGACTTGAAGGTAAAAACTATCTTTTTTGTTTTAGTTACGCATACAATAAGCATATTTCAAGTTCAAATCTTTTCGTTTCCGTTATCACAGTAATAGTAACTTAACAGGTACCAACACTGGGTACAGAAAGCGACTGGATTTCATCTCCACAAATGTCTACCACTAGTTCAAATCCGTCTGGCATTAAGAGGGTCAGTAGACAATCAGTACCGGTGGCCATTCAAAATATTGAATTCAATAAGAATCGAAAAGTACCAATAATTCATGTTGAACAGAAAGAAAATAGAAGTGTCAATAATCAAAAAATAACATCAAACATAGATCACAATGAGTATAAAGCAGGGCCTTCTAAACCTGTTATAACTAAAAGATCTCAACAGAAAACCAAAGAATAATGGCAAAAAAAACTTGTACAGATGGTACTCAACGCAATTAGATCTTTCATTAAATAACTATTTCATCCTAATTTAACAAGTCCCTTTTGTTAAATATTAATAAATTGTCACAAAAGTCAATGCTCCTAATTTTTCGATAAGTAGAAGTGTATAAAATACAAATATGTGTATGATATTGCATTTAAAGTGTCCATAAAATAATTGAAAACTTGGAATAAAATTAAACCATGTGTCAAAATTAACGCGTAGCTACTACAAAAGTGACGCAATTCAATATTAATTTTCCTTCATATCTTTCAGCTGGTTTTTACGAACATTTTTTTTTTGTATCCTGACTGATTCATAAAAACGATTTCCTTGAAATTACTGTTTAAATTACGCTTTTGCTCATATATAGAATGTACAAATGATGATAAGTCGTTTAACTGTTCTGGAAAATACACTCTAACTTTATTATTTTGGATGGAACACCCTGTATACTACTTTAAATCCCTAAAAGAAATAAATATCAGTTTAATATTACATCTAGCTTAAGTCATACTGTTTTTGAGTTATTTCACTTTGTTCAGAAAATTTGATGTTTACAGTATTTTGTGCCATTTTGAATATCTCCGAACCGAATGCAGTTGGAGGGATGTAGTATTAACGAAACAAACATATACAAATCCAAACATGATTTAGCATTAATTTTATTTACCTTCGTATTAGTTTTGTATTTTTTATTGTTTTTTAGAGGCAGAAACAGGAGTTAGGAGGGGAAGAAGTAGACCTAGATTAGATTACTATTCGCAGATAGTTAAGGATGTGGGCTGTTCTAGTTTTAGGGAAATGCGAAGTTTAGCTCAGGATAGGAATGAGTGGAGGTACGTGTCCAACCAGTCTTAGGACTGACGACCCTATGATGAATTGAAAGTACCCACCTTTCATGAAAATATAAAAAAAAAACTAACGCTAGTTAAATGTCTTTAATCGCAAGTATCTCAACCGGCGGAGTATACTACTTACGCGTAACATAGTTATCACTGTATATATCTTTACGTATTTTCTTGCATATATCTCATATTCGAACATGAGGAACGAACTGGAGCAGCAGACCAGGAAGTACGAGAAGTTCCAAAAGAGGCAAGCTCCGAAGACGACAAGTTAACCGAAGACATCTCGTGATAAATCTGACGGAGAAGGTGCTCACGGGCGACAACACGACAATACTGGCCAAAGGAGTAAGCAGCTACCAAGCGTCTCCTGGATGCGAACGCCGAAGGAATACGAATCGAGAATACCAATAACCTCAGGAAAGCAAAGCCTCCCAGAAGCAACCTGACGAGGAATAAAGCACTGGTACTGCGAAAGCTAAACAGGGATAAGGATATTATCATCCTCCAGCCGACAAAGAAAACGCAGCCGTTCTTCTGAAGACAGAGGACTACAACAGGAATATTGAGGAACTCTTGGACCTGGAAAACTACAAACCCTTAACAAAGATTCGACACAGGCGAAACTACACCTTGTTAGCCGACTTTTCAAATCATCATCCCTACCTGAAGACGCCCAAAAGTGTATTCTGAGGACGGTAGCTGTTCCACCGATTTCCTAAGATCCACAAGGTTAATGTTCCTCTGAGATCAATAGTAAGCACCCGCTGACCACCAATATACTACTTAGTGAAACAAATGTCATTGTTGCTCCAGTCTCAAATTGAAATGAGTACCAGTTACATCAAAGAATCCGTTGAATGAAATACATTGAAACATCTGTAAGCTCTTTGAGGTTTCCCTTACTGTTAGGTATTTCATGTGGAGGGGGGACTCCTAGGAGCAAGTAGATGGAATACTTTGAGAAGAAAGCTATTGGAGCGAGCACGAGATTCGCCGACAAACCGCGGGCGCCTTTCTCCATGTGCGCCGTATTTGTAAATGTGTGTGCCTGTACCTGGATCTGGGAAAGCAGTTAAACAGTTCAAAGAAAAAATAAACTATCCGGATGTATCCAGAAGGTTCCAGAAAGTAAACAAAAGAATATTTAAAGGAAGAGACGATCGACGAGAGGAGTAGAAATACATTGACTGTAGCAGAAGTGAATCCAGAAATAAATTGACAATGATAGCAGTGAAATAAATAGTGCAGTGAATAGTAGTGTAAATAAATAGAATAATTCATAACCTAAGTTTAGTAATAATTTAATAGGATTTTTAAGTTCTTTAATAATTAGTGTAAATAAATAGTTTTCGTCGTTATCAGTCTTTAAAGTTAATTTTCTTAAACGCACGAACCTTACAGTATGTATATGTAGAAGCTCCATTTCTCCTTACAGTTCTAGAACAAATGCTTAGAACGTATTGTAAATATAACTCATGTACCTATCAACCGATAAAATTTAACAAAACATCATTAGAAAGTACATGAATATATATACGAATGTATATATGTAACTAAAAAGCTTTCTAAATCTTTCTCTCCTCTCTAACTTTTGCTGGGCGACACGTTCTCAGTCCGAGTCGTCGATTTTATCACCACANTTTTATAACGAACAAGTGAAGAAAGTAATGCAGAAACATAAAATTAACCATTATTCAACGTATAGCACAAAGAAAGCATCAGTTGTGGAACGGGTGAATAGAACGCTAAAATCAAAAATGTGGCAGCGCTTCAGTTTACAAGGATCCTACAAATGGTTGAATATATTACAAGATATAGTAAGTGAATACAACAATAAGATTCACAGAACCATCGGAATGAAACCAAGCAAAGTCAATAGACGAAATCAAGAAACACTTTTGAAAAGTATTTACAACAATCCGAAAAAGGTGGATTTACGAAGAATTCAGTTTAAAGTGGGGGACCGGGTACGAATAAGTAAATATCATGAATCGTTTAGTTGAAAGGTTATATACCGAATTGGTCCAACGAACTATTTACAATAAGCCGTATAAAATTATCTGATCCAATCATGTACTACTTAAAGGACGATAAAGGGGAAGACATAACATGAGGATTTTATGGTATGGAATTACAGAAAGCTGCACATCCAGACGTTTTTTTGGTGGAGCGAGTATTAAGACGGAAAGGTGATATGGTTTACGTGAAATGGTAAAACGTTTACGAATTTTTATGCCCCCTCCCCAAAGTGTGATTATAAATAACATTAAACGTGGTGAATGTAAGCAGTTGTGATCTTTAGTTACTGCACTGAAAGTTAAAGACGTAGTAATGGTAGAGGGTTATGTAATTGAAGTTCAATTTTTCAAAGACGGTTTATTGTTTGAGAGAAGACATTTGGTAGCGTCAGAGTTGGCGAACGTGGTACAAGAATTTGAGTTAAAAGGTGGATACGATAAACTTGTAATAACAGGTTATTTAGTAAACGAAGAGAGCGACCCTGACCATTTAGAAATAGAATTTATATAAAAAATGGATTCCTTATCCTACGAGTTGTATCAAGCAGAAAGACAAACTCTCCTTATCAATTTACGAAGAGCAATACTATCCGATGATTTAGATAGAGTGAAAGTTGTATGTTCAAAATTGGGTGTTGAAGTACCAAAGGAGGCATTCAAGTGATTAACAATGTCGCAAGAGGCATCGTTTGATATTTTGTATTTCATATTCGAAATAAAACGACGGTATGACACATTCGTTAGTGATTTTTTAAAAGCATGTGGTGAAAAAGTGGAGATAACCGGTGATGATGTCCAAGACATTTTAAATGAAACAAATAGAAATTACACGCGAAACGATGTATATTTTCTAAAGGAAATGTTGACAAACGGATCGGTTCTGGTGAAGAACAAAAGATTTTCCATCGTTAACGTAAAGAAAACGTATAGAACACTACTAAAGTGTGTAGATGATTTAATAATGGATGTGGCATACTACGCGCAACCGAAATATTTGGAAAAGTGTATTAAGCTAATAAATTTGTTCCGGCTTCCATATACTTTAAGTCCGAACATAAACGGTCGTCATCAGACAGTGGTGAGTTGGATAGAAGAAAACATTTTAATAGAAGGAACGGAAAAGGCTNGGATTTTTAAGTTCTTTAATAATTAGTGTAAATAAATAGTTTTCGTCGTTATCAGTCTTAAAAGTTAATTTTGTTAAACCCGCGAACATTACAACTGGTGTTAGGTGTGCGGTTGAGTAAAAGACATTAAAATGGCAAAGAAGTTGTACGAATTAAAAGTAGCTGAGTTAAGAAGAGAATTGGACGAACGAGATGAAGCGACAAGCGGTAACAAAGCGGAACTGCAGTGGCGGCTCGCGGAGGCGTCGAAAAAGGATGGCCATGATCCTGAAACGTTCCTTTTCGAAGACGAATTGTCGCAAACCACGAAAAGTTTGGAAAATAAATTGCAAAAAAGTGGTAAAAGCCTGAAACGTGAATTGGAAGAAAATAGTCAATGTTTGAAACGCGATTTGGAAGAAAATAGTAAAATTTTGAAACGTGAATTGGAAGAAAACAGTAGAAGTTTGGAGAATAAGGGGAAAAAATTAATAAGAATATTCAAGAAACAGAAGAGAAGATAAAAGTACTGGAAGAATTGATTTCTAATGGAAAGATCGAACCAATCGAAGGGGATGTTGGCGCATCTAGTACACTCAACGAAGCCAACCAAATCAGTCAAGGAAGCGGTATAGACTCAAGAACACGAATAAAAACACCAACGTTTGACGGAAAGTCCTCATGGGCCACTTACCACAAGCAATTCGAGGCGGCTGCTAAAGCGAATAACTGGGCGCTTGAAGAAAAAGCCACTGCTGTTGACCCTAGCGCTTCGTGGTGAACGAAACTGGTAAACGGACCTATGGCAAAACGGGAAGGATTCGGCTACTGCGTGAAGAAACGGATTCGTCAGAATCTTTAGAAGAAACCGTCTGCCGAATCACCTCCAAGTTCGAAAAAGAAACTCGAAAGTTAAGATGTTAGAATTGCGGCGAAGTACTCCTTCCCCAAGTACTCGCCGTCAACCGCAGGTAAATTCTGAAACATTACCTGTTGAAATAAGTGGAGTAATTGACAGAGATTGTAGGAATCTAACCAGTGAGCAGAAATGCAAAGTACCGACGTCCTTGAGACTGACAAGAATGGTAGGGGAAGG